TGATGAAAACAACAAAGAGAAACAATTGAGAAATCCCTAAATATGTGTTGATCATTGATACTTAAAGCTGAGTCTAACAAGTGAACACCACATGCATCACAATGAAAAGGAAAACACTTTAAAAAAATTTTCAAAGACATATAAAGAATGTTCTTACAGTATTCTTTTTCAGTACATCTTTTATATCATCCTGAAACCATAATCGACTCCTTTTCCCTCGTTCCTTTGGGCATCTTCGACGGATAATTTCTCTTCCCATGTCTCGTAACAAAGGATGCATTTGAAGTTTGTTGTACCTTTCAACTTTTATGAGGCCACGTTCTATGAGAACTGTTATTCCAATATCAGCATAAAGTCCACAGCCATTTAGTATTTTTGTAACATAGCTTCTCTCTTTACCAATAAAGAAGCAACATATATCAAGAAATATATCCTTTTCCATGTCATGTAAACCATCAAAACTAATTTCCAATTTCTCAAGTATTTGATTAAAGGGATTTACTTTTAGTTTTGATGATACACTTTCCCACTCTTCCTTTGTCCTATCACATAAATAGGAACCAAGGAATTGAAGAGCAAGTGGTAGTCCTCCACAATAAGCAACTATGCTTCTTGCATGTTCATTCAATTCTTTTCTTGGTTTTGCTTCTCTAAAGGCATGCCAACTTAAAAGCTCAATGGAATCATTTTCGTTCATAACATCAATTTTATACACATGATTAACTTTTAGTCGGTTCAGCACGGTAACATCTCTAGTTGTGAGGATTATCACAGTTCCTTGACCGAACCATTCTCGATTCCCGCATAAGTTTTCTAATTGGCCAAACTCATTCACACCATCAAGCACAATAAGCAACTTTTTTCGTGAAAGTTTAGTCTCGATCATGGTTCTTCCCACCCTATCGCTTTCCACCTCAAACTTGGATTTTAAGACATCATATAGGAGATTTTCTTGCAAATGAACATGCCTTTTGTTTACCAGATTCCAAAATTGTCCAATATTTTCAATAAAACTCTTACCAATGAATGAATGATAAATTCGATTATAAATGGCTTTGGCTAAGGTAGTTTTACCCGATCCTCCCATTCCCCATATCCCTATCATACAGACTTCAGTGGATTGTTCTTCAACCAATGCAATCACCTTTTCCACGTGGGACTCTAATCCAACAGGAAATTGGGTAATAGACATGTCTGTATAGTCCAGCAATGTCTGAATGCGTCTAACAATTTCCTCCACAAATTCAGCATCGTGCCTTCAATATGAACGGTAATGTATTACGAAAATCAAATCACAGCCATAACATATGTTTAATTCAGTCTCAAACACAAGAAACTACGAAGAATTCATTTCTTTACCTGAAATCTCTGAAATCCCAACCAGTGACACCTGCAGCTTTGGTTAGTGCTCTGCTCCACCTGGACATTGCATGGTCCAGTTGTTCTCCTGAATAGCTTCCTGGTGCAGCTTTTTCCAACACCCTTACAACCTTCTGAAGATGTTCATCCAATCGTGCAATATCGTAAATTACTGGCAGAACTATTTGTCCAAAAGTTTGGCGGCATTCAATGATTTTTTCAAGCTCAAGACGCGAGCAGGTAGATTCAGTGTATGTCTTGGAGAAAACAATTATTGCAATCTTAGAGCTTGCTATTGCTCGCATGTGTTCTTCCAGCTTAATTCCCTCTTGCAGATTCTCCTTGCTAATAAAAGTTTTGACTTGAGCTAGTAAAAGGGCAGAATGGAGATGAGAAACGAACTTTCTACCGATATCTTCTCCCCCAAAGTTGATGAACACATCGTATATGAATTGGGGTTCTGATTTTAAGAAGGATAAAGATGATGATGATGAAGAAAAAGAAGCAAACTCCATCAAAGGAATTGAAGTCAACTCTTCATAGGCAAAGCAATAACTATAAGAGATGTTAAAATGACAGTTGTTTATAAAAAGGGGTCGGTTGGCTAACGAGGTTTACACCTTTGCATTGGGTTCATAACGGGTGGAAACAATGTCCTCATAGAATTTGTTCGAATAGAGTATGACGATAACTTTAATATCATTAGAAAGTAAAGTAGATTAAAATTAACTCAATTTTACAAAACTGACTTATAAAAGTGAGATATCATATTAGAAAATAGATTAAAATTAACTCAATTTATAAAATTGACCTGTAAAGTGAGATTTGGACTTCTCTTATGTATTATAATTTGATTACTTCTAATAATATTTTGCATCAAAATTTAAAATTACCTGACGTATTCAAAGTTGTCGTAAAACGAAGAATGCAAAAAAAAAAAAAAAGTTGAAATACGATACAACCTTCATTTTTTTTATCAAAAACATAGTGGGTGAAAAGATAGGCTTTATATTATATAAGCAATTCCTGCTGGCAAAAGAAAGTGTTAGTTCGAGAAAGATGCCAATCACTGTATATTAAATTCCATATATGTGTAATATTTTGCTCCTGAACCCACCTAGTGTGCGTTCTTTATT